AACATTTATGAATATAATTACAGAGACTAGGTAGCCAGACTTGAGTTCTAGAGAAAGAAATATAGTACAGTACCTGCACTCTGAAATTTGGGTGGGGACGTTACAGTTTGGATGGTCATTTGAATTGTCATGTCTGCACACTTTCAGCAAAACAGCTACTGAATGAGTGATGAATATTTCTTTCTTCAAGTCACCCTACCATGGTGGCAAATGTCTGATATAGTGAAAAAATATATTACTTTGAGAGTAATGAAAGTGTGATTGGAGACTAGTACACTAGTACACTCTTGGTTTAAGGAAAATAACAGGTTAATGTTATTCAGTTTTCAACTGCAAATCCCCCCTATGCACTCAAGTTCTTAATAACATAACTTTCTACATATACCACTCAACTTAGTTTACAATTTTTCTTCTATAGTATCCAGAACTGCACTTCAACTATTTTTTTTACAATATTTAACTATTATCCTAGGTAGGAGGTTGGTAGACAGCAGCTGCCCAGGGAGGTACTACTGTCCTGCCAAGTGAATGTAAAAGGGAAGCCTGTACTTGTTTTACATGATGGTAGGATTGCTGGTGTCTTTTCTGTCTCATAAACACACAAGATTTCAGGCATGTCTTGCTACTTCTACTTACACTTAGGTCACACTACACATACATGTACAAGCATACACACACACACACACACACACCCCTCTAGGTTTTCTTCTATTTTCTTACTAGTTCTTGCTCTTGTTTATTTCCTCTCATTTCCATGGGTAAGTGGATCAGAATTCTTCCGCCGTAATACATGCGTGTTGTAAGAGGCGACTAAAATGCCAAGAGCAAGGGGCTAGTAACCCCTTCTCCTGTACAAGTTACTAAATTTAAAAAGAGAGACTTTCGTCTTTCTTTTTGGGCCACCCTTCCTTGGTGGGATATAGCCAGTTTGTTGAAAGAAAGAAAGATTTAACTATTATTACAACATTTAAAGTATTACTAATAGAACTGATGGAAACATCTTCAGTAATTTTGGAGGCTTGTACAGTACTGAATTTGTTATTATTACTATTATAATAAAAAAGAAGTGCTAAACCTACAAGGGTCATACAGAGGACTGAATTTGTTAATTAGGTAAGATTGAGGTGGCTGGTCCTTCACAGGTGGGACACCTTTAAAGATACACCTGTTAGATAATTAACACCTGACAGCACACAGTCTCATCACCAATGTAAATTTGGAAGGTGTGATATATTCTGTTTAATGTATGTGCGTAGTTTTTTCCTTGAGAGGTTTAACACTGTCTGCATCAGCATTTAATGATTCATCAACACTCCAAATTTAAATTCTATACTTTCATTCAACACACCGGCCGTATCCCACCGAGGCGGGGTGGCCCAAAAGGAAAAACGAAAGTTTCTCCTTTTACATTTAGTAATATATACAGGAGAAGAGGTTACTAGCCCCTTGCTCCCGGCATTTTAGTTGCCTCTTACAACACGCATGGCTTACGGAGGAAGAATTCTGTTCCACTTCCCCATGGAGATAAGAGGAAATAAACAAGAATAAGAACTAGAAAGAAAATAGAAGAAAACCCAGAGGGGTGTGTATATATGTGCTTGTACATGTATGTGTAGTGTGACCTAAGTGTAAGTAGAAGTAGCAAGACGTACCTGAAATCTTGCATGTTCATGAGACAGAAAAAAGGACACCAGCAATCCTACCATCATGTAAAACAATTACAGGCTTTCGTTTTACACTCACTTGGCAGGACGGTAGTACCTCCCTGGGCGGTTGCTGTCTACCAACCTACTACCTATTAAATTCTATACCTAACTTTAAATTGTCAGCTCATCTATTGCCTACCTTAAAATTGATTATGCCCTTGTACATTATTTTAGCAGACTTCATTAACTTCCAGTACTGTAAATCACATCAGTCACCAAACAAGGAAATCATGAGAACATCCTATCCTAGAGAATATTTTATGCAAAAACTTAAAAGTGATACACAAATAACCAGCACAAGGAAGAGAGAAGCTTACGGCGACGTTTCAGTCTGACTTGGACCATTTACTAAGTCACAGTATTGTGTTTTTTTTTGTTGCTAAAAATGATACCCATTAGAGGTAAATAACTAAGAGGATTATATGTAGACTAATTAAAAGAATTTAAAGCACCAAGGGTGGATAGAATTCAGTTAATAAATATGCAAGTGGAAGTAAGGTGCTAGTAACTCCTTCTCCTGTATAAATTACTAAATTTAAAAAGAAAAACTTCAGTTTTTCTTTTAGGTCACCCTGCCTTGGTGGGATATACCTGAAGCATACCTGGAGAGGGTTTCAAGGGTCAACACCTCCACAGCCTGGTCTGAGACCAGGCCTCGTGGTGAATCAGGGTCTGATCAACCAGGTTCTTACTGCTGGCTGCAAGCAAATTGATATACGAACCACAGCCCGGCTGGTCAGGTACTGACTTCAGGTGACTGTCCAGTGTCTTCTTGAAGACAGCCAGGGGTCTACTGGTAATCCCCCTTATGTATGCTGGGAGGCAGTTGAACAGTCTTGGGCCCCTGACACTTACTGCGTTGTCTCTCAGTGTACTCGCAGCACCCCTGCTTTTCACTGGAGGAATGCTACATCTCCTGCCGAGTCTTTTGCTTTTGTAGGGAGTAATTTTCATGTGCAAGTTTGGAACTAATCCCTCTAGGATTTTCCAAGTGTATATTATCATGTACAATGGACCCCCGGATTACGCAGTTGTCGGATTTCGTAATATTCGGAATAAGTAACGTTTTTTTGTCAAAATATTGGCTCGGTGATCATCACTGAACTCGGTAATAGTCATTCATCCCGAACGTGTCCATGCGGCCTGACACCATTTACAGGCAGTGTGCCATTGTTTATCAGCCAGTGAGGACGATCCCACGCATTCATACGATACATTTTGTATTATTCCATTCTTTTTAGTGCTTGCAACTGCTAAATAAACCACCGTGGGCCAAAAGAAAGCTCCTAGTGCCAGCCCTTTGGTAAAGAAGGCAAAAAACACGATAGAATTCAAGAAAAAACACACCAGCCAGGGTACTTCCCCACACACCAGAGTACTTCCCCCCACACGCCATTTGATTTGAGTGGGACTTGCGCAGGGGTGAATAGAATTATCAAAGCTTATTGCTTGGGTAGCATTGAAAATTGGGTTGGATAAATTTTCTGTTAGTGGGATGGTTTGTGAAGGACCTGCCTAGTATGGGCCAACAGGTCTGCTGCAGTGTTCCTGCTTTCTTATGTTCTTATGTACACCAGCTGAGGAAATTGCTTCAGAGGAGAGAGAGAGAGGGAAGAAGGTGCCTTCTTCAAAGATTAAGGGCATTTGTGCAAAGTGGAGTGAGGTGTAAACATTTGTGGAGCAACATCACCCTAACCCTCTCCCCTCCTCCCATACACCAACAAGAGTCTTCAATAAAGCTAAGTGTGATATTATTGTTTTATACTCAGTTTCTCATTCTTTTCTGTATGTAAATCTATATTTAACCTATAAAAAATAATTTTTGTTAATACTTTCAGGTGTCTGGAAAGGATTAATTGGATTTACAATATTTCTTATGGGAAAATTAATTCAGAAATCGTCAGATTCAGGTTTAGTCACTCTCTCTGGAATGAATTAGTTACAAAAACCAGGGATCCACTGTATCTCTCTTGCCTGCATTCCAGGGGATACAAATCAAGGGACTTCAACCGTTCCCAGTAATTCTGGCGCCTTATCATACTTATGTGTGCCGTGAAAGTTCTTTGTACTCTCTCTAGGTCAGCAATTTCGTCTGCCTTGAAGGGGGTAGTTAGTGTACAGCAGTATCCTAGCCTGGAGAGAACAAACAATTTGAAGAGACTCATCATGGGCTTGGCATCCCTAGTTTTGAAGGTTCTCATTATCCATCCTATCATTTTACTAGCAGATGCAGTAGATACACTATTGTGGTCTTTGAAGGCAAGATCCTCTGACATTATCACTCCTAGGACTTTCACATTACTTTTTTGCTCTATTGTACGGTTAGAATTTGTAGTATACCCTGATACAGTTTTAATTTCCTCAAGTTTTCCATATCTAAGTAGTTGAAATTTCTCTTCATTGAACTTCATATTGTTCTGAGTGGCCCATTCGAAGACTTGGTTGATGTCTGCTTGGAGTCTTGCAGTGTCTTTGATGGAGGACACACTCATGGCTGCTTGGGAGGGAGGGAGGGAGGGAGGGAGGGAGGGGAGGGAGGGAGGGAGGTCATTCTTTACAAACTTGTTTACATTCCCTGAAACATTTACCAAAACTTTCTGGTTGAAGTGACTTACAAAGACTATGGGACATTTGCAAAAATATCACACAAATGATTGCTATGGATCCTTTCCATATTGCATTTTACTTTCTGCCCACATGAGATTTACCCTCCACAGTCTTTATACTATACACAGTATATTTGAAAGAGTTATCAAAGATTTGTTTTTATAACATTTTTTCTTTTATTCACAATTTTATCCAACATAATTCTAACTAAATATTAATTTGTACACAATCTGCTTACCACTACTATATAACAAGCATTACGTTGAAATGTTCTAAAAATTTGTTGCAATACATCCTCTCCTCACTTAAGAACAGTTCCATTCCTAAGACCACATCGGTAAACAAATTCGTTGCTAAGTGAGGAGATTACTATAATGATAGTGGGTTTATGTCAACCATCTTTGATATTGTTTTAATGTCACTTTTGCATCATTTATAACATTTCTAGTATATTTTTAAATATTTAAACAGTAGTGTACTGTATATTGTAATAAACAGAAGAGAGGAAATCAGTTGTAATATACATTATTTAGGAATGCACACTGGCCAGAGAGCCCATCGTAAGTCTGAGTCGTCAGTAAACGAGTATGGTCGCTAAGTAGGGAGAGGCTGTAATTACTTAACACGAGTAAACTGAAGCTAAGCTTATCCATTTATACACAAAGAAATCAAGTTTTATTTATTTACCTTTGTCATGCATGTAATTTATAAGTTTTTCACTCAGCTTGGGTGTTCTCCGACTTCGGCGTGGTTCATTTTGTTCTGGAAGACATAAACTACATTGAGAGTTTGTAAATTAAAGAGCACCCACTATTAATAAATCAACACACATATACCCTATACAAAGATGCAAGATGTGGCTCTTACTCATGTAAGTTGTATGTTACACAGAACCTGGCCCCTCCAGTATTTTCCTTGTACAACAGAATCCCGAGACTGTTTTGCCTTTACGACACTGGCATTTTGGAACCAAGTATGAGGTAATTACTTATGAACAAGTGACTCATTCTTCTCATAGTAAGGACTACACATGACTTATTCTTGCCAAAAATAAGCAAGAAATATCTCTTCCAGTGAGCAAAATAGGATCATGATTCAAGGTAAATATTGTACATGTTTTGTTAAAAATCCCTATTTATATTATTTTACATTGTAGAAGTTTTTTGTATAGTATGTAACTGAAAAGGCATATCAAAGTTAAAGTATTCAGTAAAAATTCTTGGTTAAAAAATTAATTAAAATTAAATAATGAAAAGTAGAGCTCAGGAATGCATTAGTCCATTTCACTTTGTTTTTCATGGGGAAAAAAAAGGTTCATACTACTGAACATCTGACTTGCAATGAATTTTCAGACATGTAATAACACTGCAAGTTGGTGATCTACTGTATATATTATTAAGTATCTTTCTCTTCTCTATTTCGGTGATAACAGTGTTTTTGAGGTACTTCCTTTTCCCTGCCTGAAATGCCCCGGCATGATAGTGGCTTTCTTTGTACTGTACTTAACAAATAAAAATTGTAATTACAAATTGTAAACATTGCAGAGAAATAAATAACTTTTTAAATTTTGAAATCTTTAAATCTTTAAATCCTGAAGGGTTGCTAAACTCATAAGAGCCACACACTGCCTTAGGAATGGGAGGCAATCAGATTTAATCAAAGGAAGGGTAGGACAGCTTCAATTCCTTGGATCATGAGCCCTTCACCAACATCAAGGCACATCCCTCAAAGGAATACTGCACGTAGAGTGGGCAAGTTTGTACAGGCTGTGCTTGATGATATCAATCGTGATGGTGATTTGAGCCTGCTGGTGCTAGAAGATGCAATAGCCAGGCACAAACACTGTGAAAATATATTGGGAACATTCGCCTCTTTAAGAACATATTTCTGAAGGGAGCAAATGAGCAAAGATAAATTATGTGGGTAAAAAAATTATTGAATTTAGAACCCAAAATACAGTGCAGTTTTCCCTACCATATGACATATAATTTATTAAACATAACAAAGCTCTTCTCCATGAGGAAGTGGAGAAGAATTCTTCCTCTGAAAGCTATGCCTGTTGTAAGAGGTGACTAAAATGCCAAGATAAAGGGGCTAGTAACTTCTTCTCCTGTATAGATTATAAAATATAAAAAGAAAAACTTTCATTTCTTCTTTTTTTGGGTCACCCTGCCTCAGTGGGAGACAGCCAGTAAAAAAAAAAAAAAAAATGGAAAAAAACAGCGAGGGAAAGAAAGCTGGTATTTTTTCTATTAGTGTAACCCTGCTTTGATGGGGGATTGTCAGCTTATTAACCCTTTGACTGTTTATGTTGTATATATACGCAGGGCCGGATTAAGAAGTCTCCGGGCCCTAGGCTATTCAGATTGGCGGGGCCCCTTTGAGTTACGGGTAAGCGAAGCGACCCCTTCCAGCTTGGGGGGGGGGGGGGTCGGTGTGAGCCTGTTTAAGGTCTAATTAAATACATTCTGGCTATTTAGATTAAATTTAATAGGGAAAGTACATCAAGACAACCAAAACCATTTACCAACAGCCATTATAACTATCTTGTTAAATCATGCATTTTAAAGAGAATAAACTCAAGACAGCATAGTATTACTAGATTAGGCTATTAAAGTAGTGACATCATGTACCTATTATATTCAGCATAACCACTACAGCACTATTATTCCCTTTATAAATCACTGACCATTATTGTTATCATTGCATCATGCATAAGACTATCAAATCATATAAACTACAGAAAATGGGAGAGAAATCTCCCATACTCACCCAATAGCGGGAAAACACAGCTGTTCTGATGTAAACAAAGGCGTGTTGAGTGTTGCCATCTATGGTTAGGTTTATTTATTTTTATTTTATTATATTTCATTATTTATTTTTGTTTTGATAACTTTTTAAAAATCAATTTTACTCTCCAAACACTTGAACTTTTTAGGTAGGGACCTCTTTGCACTTGCACCATGTGCGCAGTCTTGGATGAGCCCCTGAACCCCTTGGACCGCGGGGCCCCCCAAATGTGCGGGGCCCTAGGCAAATGCCTAGTTTGCCTATGCGGTAATCCGGCCCTGTATATACGTCTTACACGCCACTGTTTCGGACGTATTTATACGCATAAATTCTAGTGGCTTCAAATCAAGCAGGAGAAAGCTGGTAGGTCCATATGTGAGAGAATGGGTCTGTGTGGTCAGTGTGCACCACATAAAAAAAATTCTGTAGCATGCAGAGCATAATGAGAAAAAAAAACTGACCGGTTTTTTGGATTAAAACGCCAACTTTGAGGTGTATTTTCGTATAGTATTTATCATTGTATTCTCGTTTTCATGGTCTCACGTGATAAAATGGAAAACATATTACAGAAATAGAGATGATTTTCATTACTTTCATGATGAAAACGACCTTGAAATTGAGCTCGAAGTAGTGGAAATGTTCAATTTTTACTGATGTTCAGGAGTATGCAAATTACACCACACGTCCAATACACATCAACTGGGGAGTGTAATATTCTTTCACTAGTGCACTGATATTATTTATACCATTTTTACAATAATGCAGTAGTGTGCATAACAGTAAATTTTGTATTTTTTTGTATGAATTAAAAATCAAAACAGAAAGCAATAGTAATAGTATAAGAGGGGCCTAGAGACGTGACTAATGAACAGAGGATATGTTATTTTAGTGCCAAGAATGTCTACATTATTTATTCTGGACCCTATTTTGAAATTTGCGTGAAATTGGCCAAATTGCCAATTTCTGACCACTTTATTGGGTAGTTCAAATTGGTAAATGGGGGGTTTCTTGTACTCAACTGATAGAAAAAATGGAGTTCTAAAGAAATAGCTATGAGTTTGGTCAACTGGAACAATGGAATTGGCCAAAAAACAGGGCTCAAAGTCGGCGAAATTGCCAATGCGTATATGTCGCCAAGACCGCTAACTTCGCGAGAGCATAATTCCGTGAGTTTTCGACCAAATTTCGTACTTTTGGTGTCATTACTATCAAGAAAAGATTCTCTATCATTTCATAAGAAAAAAAAAAATTCCAAAACTTTTGTGACATAGAATGACAGTTTCAGAAAGGGGCTTGCGACAGTCAAAGGGTTAAAAAACCAGAAGGCCGAAATAAGTCAAAACAGAAAGTTTGCAAAACACACTGGTATATAAAAATAAATTACTGGATCATAAATAAAATCAACCTCATATTTCAGGAATATGCTTGTTAAATTTTAGGTCAGCGAAAAATCTACAGTAAAACGTATTTTTAAATTTTGCTTGTGTAGTACTGTACGTACTTACTATTATATCCACTGGCAGAAATGTTTATAAGAGAGACCCTAGCTGACAGTACAACTCAAACACCAAGCTAAATACTTATTTAAAAGCAAGTTGAAAAATGTTAATACTGTACCTCTGTCTCTGCCATCTTCACAGAAAAATTCGTCAAGTTTGGCTGGAGGTCTTGCCTGTCGTCGGCTTTTCCTTGCTGGTGGCATTCTCTGTGGAAACAACCAAATAAATCAACAAATATATATACACAAGTCTAACATAACAAATATAGATATGGGTTGGGCCTCCAGAAGCAACAGCCTAGTTGACCATGCAAGCACCAGATGAGAGTATTAAGAGTGTAGTAAGACTCTTGAAACTCATCTAAGGTAAAGGTATATCAAAGGGACATTTAAAGTCATTTGGAGACACCTCACTCCCAACAGGACAGTGGTAAGGTTAGGACAATTTCATTAATAACAGATTAAGACACTTAGTCACATGCTCCCAATGCCACTACTGTACTTGCCTCATTTCTCCTATCTACTGATGGTTTCAGGGGTTATGACCCTCACAGCCCAGATCCAGATTCAGCCTTCTGAGCGATGGTCTGATCAAGCAGATGGCCTGATAGCAAAAAGCAGTCAGCAATAGTCTATCTTATCAGGACATAACCATTTTAACAACCTGTATTTATTAATATTTGACGCTTCAAGTTGCCACTCATTAGATGAGTCACGTAGCTTATCCCATATCATCGTATAGCTTTTATATATATTTTTTACTCCTCCAAAGTTGTGTGTTATCGCCAAACATTATCAACCACAAATAAATCTCTCTTCATTGGTCATTCAAACATACCAAGATCAGAAAGAATCAGAAAACTGGTATTTGGAGAAATCCACATTACTTCTTCCCATCCTGATGATGTTTCTCTCGCAATTTTCTGCCTTCCATTTGTTGGAACTTCCTTTATTCAGCAAAGTACAGATTAACCATTCAGAAACCTATATATTATTAAGTGAATAATGGCAAAGGATATGAGACGACTTGCTCGTAAGTTAAACCCATACTGGTTATATAGTGCTGAAAGACCACACGTAAAGAAATGCTTTTAAGTGTCCTATCCTCACAGCCTTTCATACTAACGAACTTATGGCCTATTGTTCTCCATGTTGATGGTGCAAAGAAATCTACCTTACTGGGTACCTATTTTATTTTAGACCTTAAATATAATTTTAAACTTATACAATGGTTCTATAAAGTAAATTATGTAGAACTGAATTAAGGATAACACAAGGTCAATCAATGTGGCTAATTTCCATTGGGAGGTAATCACATTTGATTGAAGAAAAGGGAGGGGTACCTCCAATTCCTTGGATATAGAGCCCTTCACCAGCATTAAGGCACCCCTTCCTCTATCTTCAAGAGCCTCATGCTTAAATTATCTAGCAGTTTTTATTTAGGCTTTGGGACCATTATGAAAGTATTTTTACAATGATCTTGAAATATACCTAGTTGGATGAATCTTAAGCCAACTGGTCAAGTAGTTAACACACTGGCCTGTGAGTTCTAGGACTTCCTCACTTCGTCTGATTTTTTTTTGAGTTATCCAACCTATGTAATTTAATAATAATAATTTTGTTTCTGCAAGTACATGTACAAGGTCATGCTACTACAGGTATAATGACATATTATTGAAAAGAAAACCCCCTTGTTATGCAGAGCATTTCACGCAAATTAAGTCAATTTTGACTCCAGGATGTGACCCACACCAGTCGACTAACACCCAGGTATGTACCTACTTACTGCTAGGTGAACAAGGACAACAGGTGTCTTGAGGAAACACGTCCTAATGTTTCCACCCATACCGGGAATAGAACCACAGACCTCAATGTGTGAGCCGAGTGAGATATCACTGCTACCAATCAAGCTACAAGACACTTACTTGTTTTAATTTTTAAAGTTTAAATAATAATACATTACAAGGACCACAATGGAAATAACCCATTTTGACTTTTATTGGGGTTATCCTGGGTAATTTACACATACATATGTTACTATGTATGATAATTAGTGTAACACTATTTATGCGTACCTAAACCTATATAAACTTACTTACATTATTAATATCAAAACTAAGCACTAAACCCACAAGGGTCATACAGTTTACTTACTTACAGTGGCTTTCTTTTGTGCCTAACAATATTTTATTACATGTAACCTACATTACCTGTATAATGCACAGAATAAAGAAATTATGTTAAATAAAAGACACAAATGCAACTAATGTGACATTTTATTATGGCAACGTTTTGCTCTCCAGGAGCTTTGTCAAGCCGCTGGAGAGCGAAACGTTGCCACAATAAAATATCACATTAGTTGCATTTGTATCCTTTTTGTATCTTCTGGTATAACAGAGATCTGGTTCAACCTGAAAGATAGAGAAATGCCTTCTGAATGCAACATACAGGGTTATAAACTATTCCACACTGATAGGGTCAACAGGAAGGGTGGTGTAGTGGCTATGTATGTCCAAGATAGTTTAAATTGTTGTCTTAGACATGTAATAAGATTAGAAACATCGGACACAGAATCTGTTTGGCTACAGTTTCTCAAGGGTCGTGACAAATTAATTTTGGGTGTGATTTATAGGCCCCCAAACCTTGACAGGGAGTGCAGTAAGCTGTTATGGGACAAAATTCATAAGGCATCTAGATATGAAAATGTTGTGTTAATGGGAGATTTTAACTTTAGACAAATTGATTGGAACAATATGACAGGAAATCTTGAGTCTAGTGACTTTCTTGATATGGTTCAGGATTGCTTTTTAGAACAGTCTGTGACAGAACCAACTAGAGCAAACAATCTGCTTGACTTGGTTCTTGCCAACAAAGAATCACTAATTAATAATCTTGAGGTTAATGATGAGCTTGGGGAAAGTGATCACAAATCACTTAGTTTCAATATACTATCATGGAACTACCCAGATAACTGCAATCAAATCTCTGTCCCAGACTTTCGCTTGGCCAATTTCATGGGACTCTGAAATTACCTGGGTGGGCTAAATTGGGATGACCTGACTATGGGTCAGGGAGGTGATCTTGGTTGCCAACATGACATTTTTCAGAGCATAGTTCAAGTCACCCAGACAACTTTTGTTCCGAGTAGGGAAATTAGATCTAACAAAAATGATCCCAAATGGATGAACAATAGATTAAAACATCTCATTGGTCAAAAGGGAGGCATATATAGGCATATCAAAAGGGGGGATGGGCAGTTAAGAAATCAATATATTAAATTAAAGAGAAATAAAAAAAGGAATAAGAAAAGCAAAAAGGGACTATGAGGTTAGGATCGCAAGGGATTTGAAGACTAACCCAAAAAGGTTCTTTCAGGTATACAGAAGATTAGGGACAAGATAGGCCCACTTAAGAGTAACTCAGGTCAGATCACTGACAGTGATAAGGATGTGTGTGAAATTTTCAATACTTACTTCCTCTCAGTTTTTACCCATGAAAATACTAGCGAAATTCCTGAAATATAGATTATGTAGAACAGGACGATAATAAACTATGCACGATTGCTGTAACTAGTGACATGGTCCTCAGACAAATAGAGATATTAAAACCTAACAAATCCCCAGGCCCTGACGAACTGTTTGCAAGGGTGTTAAAGGAATGTAAAGAGGAACTTAGCATACCATTGGCTAATCTTTTAAACTGGCATAGTGCCTGATAAGTGGAAAATGACAAATGTAATACCTATTTACAAGGCAGGTGACAGGTCCTTAGCTTCAAACTATAGACCAATAAGTCTTACCTCCACAGTGGGAAAATTTATGGAATCAATAATTGCTGAAGCAATTCGTAACCATCTTGATAGGCATAAATTGATTAATGAAACTCAACATGGTTTTAGGAGGTAGATCATGGTAATGAATATGATATTGTGTATATGGACTTCAGTAAGGCTTTTGATAGAGTTCCACATCAGAGGCTATTGAGTAAACTTAAGGCACACAGAATGGGAGAAATTTTTTCCTGGGTAGAGGCACAGCTGACATATAGGCAGTAGAGAGTTTACATAAATGGGAAGAAATCAGAATGGCGGCGCATCACAAGCGGTAGGGGTCAGTATTGGGCCCGTTGTTGTTCACAATTTACATAAACGACATAGATGAGGGAATAAATAGCAACATAAGTAAATTTGCTGATGACACCAAAATAGGCCGGCCAGTTCATTCTAATGAGGACACTAGAGCACTCCAGGATGATTTGAATAGACTGATGCAATGGTCGGAGAAGTGGCAGATGCAGTTTAATAAAGAAAAATGCAAAGTTCTAAATGTTGGACAGGAAAATAACCATGCCACACATAAACTAAATACGTAATGTAGATCTTAAAACTACTGATTGCGGAAAGGATTTAGCAGTTCTGGTTAGCAATAATCTAAAACCAAGACAACAGTGCATTAGTGTTCGCAATAAAGCTAATAGAATCCTTGGCTTCATATCTAGAAGTATAAATAATAGAAGTCCTCAGGTTGTTCTTCAACTCTATATATCCTTGGTTAGGCCTCGTTTAGACTATGCTGCTCAGTTCTGGTCACCATATTACAGAATGGACATAAATGCTCTGGAAAACATACAGAGGAGGATGACAAAGATGATCCCATGTATCAGAAATCTTCCCTATGAGGATAGACTGAGGGCCCTGAACCCGAACTCTCTCAAAAGGCGTAGAATTAGGGGGGATATGATTGAGGTGTATAAATGGAAAACAGTGTGGAAAATACTGTATATATTTTCCAGAAATACAGTAGTTATATATAAATAGATGGCCATACTGTATTTAATAATATTTATGTCATAGAAAACGGAAAGCCTGCGTATGCGCAGAAGACACTAGCCATTTTGTTTGAATTGGATACAACGTTAGTGTAATGGGAAGAATTTATCGTGCTCTAGAGGTTAAAATTGGGTTGACACCTCTCAAATAGGAGGCGAAATTGTTGGATGTGCATTCCTGCATAACTTGAGATATCAGGCGACTGGACAAGACAGCTCCAGGAACCTCAGGTATGTCTTATGTAGTAACCTGGCCAGTGTTATTTTCATAGACAGTGAGGTTTTCTGAGTATGATGCACATTAATCTCCAGTCAAATTGGTGAGTGATATTAAGATATTCTCCTTCTGTTATGTATATGTGTGTATATATAATCATTTATTATTTTTAATATACAGTCCACAAATTTATATATTTACCAGAATTCCTGGCGATGTATCTTTTATTTATAATTAATAGGTCCAGAGCAACTTGTGGATATGACAGTGGTAGGTATCGAAGGGGGACATTTTTTGTAACCTAGGTGTCCCAAATTCCTACTTGTCTAACTGATAAATAATAATTATCTTTGTTATTTACTGGTATGTACATTATGAGTTACATCCAGATAAATGTAATTTTCCACAGTTAATTTACCCGTTGGTCCTTCTTGAACCGGAGGTAATTAGTGAAGTCATTAATTAGTTAATTACTTAATAATTATATGTGAAATAACAGAAGGAGGTGGATGTTAAGTTCACAAATTTACTTAATGTGTAGTGGATTATAATTACCAAAA